CCCACATGTAAAAAAGTCAATTTCTGTAAAGATGGTAAAACCAAAATCAAAAGGTTTTCAAGGCTATTTTTAGAGGTTTTGGTTATCAAGCATCTAGATGGTTGGTAAACTAATCACAATCCACATATCTGGTATTTGTTAAACTTTAATGTAAAAAGGTTCTGTAAGAAATAAACAGGAGATGGGTACATATTTTTGGATTGCCTTAAAAAAATTTCATTTCTGTTTCTATTAAACATTATTTTCCTTTAAAGGTAAAGATATAAAAATTCTAACCATAGAAGCTTTGACATCTTTCAAAATTAAATTCTCTTTACCAGAATCACTATCAACTGCATTAATGTCATGCCCATCTTTAATTTAGTAATACAGCTCAATTATAGCCAAAAGCTCCTTGGAGCTGAAGTCACATTTTTCAAGTTTTCTATGTACAATAATGAATCTCAGAGTCATAGGGATGGACGAGTCCTTGAGAGGTCATTTTGTGATCAAAAGGAATAAAGAAAAAAATGCCACTTTAGTTACTAAAAATGCTTTCTGTATGCTGAGCATTATGAACTTCAGAGGAATTGCCACACACAGAGAGAGCTTCAAGATATATTTCATTTTCTATTCATCAAACAAACTATAATATCTGTCCCATACAGACATATGCAAAATGTTTCTTCCTGAATACTGGTGACATCTCATCTCCATTCTGTTTCAAAAACTCTATTTCAATAGACCCTTTCCCTTAGCTTCCTTTTTTATTAGTCTATTTTGCCCTACCCCAAACGAAAGTTTGTATCTTGTTCTTTTTGTCAAATTTCCTTTCTTTTTCATAATATTATGGCAATTCATGTTCCCAGAGCAGAAGTAAAAAAAAAAAACAAAAATGAAAAACTAGAGTACCTTGAAAGAAAGAAAGAAAGAAAGAAAGTCAAGTGTCAACTGTCTGAGGCCATTTTTGAACTCAGGTCTTGCTGGATCCAGGGCTGGCGCTCTATCCACTGTACCATCTAGCTGCCCCTACAGCCATCTTTCTATTCCAAGACAAGAGGCAGACTTTGAGAATTTAACCAGCTCATTTCCCATAGAGCCAAATCACTCTACTACAACACAATGTAGACCTTTCCCCATACAGTGACATATCAGATACATGAACCTCTTCCTATTAGCCACCATCACTACCTGAAGCTGTAAAACTAAGGCTGCAACAATTCTCTGTAAACCATCAAACAGTCTAATTATAAAAATAAAAATAGCTACTTGTTTACAAAGAAACAATCCAAGTCCTTGATATTCTAAAAGAACAGCGTTTAATTTTATGTTCATCTCCATATTACCTGGTTCAGAAAAACTATAACCTGCTAATAACTATCCATGAATCCCTTTTTTTTAAAGAGCAGGTGATTAATTTTTTGCTAATCTTTTGCTTATCTTTGATTTAAAAAATTTATCAGAGCAAACTAAATAAGAAGGAAATGATTCCACATTGGTACCCTAGAAAATGCCCTGAATTTATACATCTGCAAAGTACATTACTAATTAGGAGCCAAATCCAAGTTAAACTAAGCAGCTCTGACTTGTGAGAACATGGGCTGAGAGAGTTGTCTAATTGTCTGAAAAAGAATGGAATCAGACAGCAAATGTTAAAGTGCAAAGTACACTAAAAGTATGATGATCTTCTATCTTTCCTGCAACTAAAAACACTGAAAACTATACCTATAGTTGGCACCCATGAAAGGGCTAATGGGAAGCCTTATAAAACCTGTTACGAAACAAGTTATAATGTTTACCACATTACAGGGGTGTTTAGAATTTATTCAGAGACAGAGGTGTCCTGGAGCCAGCTCATACAGTTAACCAGCTGTTAAATTTTCACCTCAGAAATTGACAAATATTACAAATCAAGGCTTTATGTGTTTTCTTTTTTAAATTTTCTAGATCTGAGAAAATCATGGAGAAAACGTTATAATGCAGATTAAACTTAAAAGTATGTCTTTTTAGCGCACTCTATCTTCCCTCTCCTCATCCCCATCTTATTGAACATTCACTAACATTTACCAGAGTTAAAGACTTTGTCACTGACAGTGTACTTTTTATCAAGTTTTATAGTTTCAGCATATTAAAAAAAGCAAATTAAAAGTGGGTAGAAAGAATTATACTAGTAGTAGGAAATGGGGGCAGCTAGGTGGCACAGTTGATAGGTTAAGGGCCTGGAGTAAGGAAGACTCATCTTCCTGAGTTCAAATCCAGCCTCAGACACTTACTAGCTGTGTGACCCTGGGCAAGTCACTTAACCCTATTTGTCTCAGTTTCTTCATCTGTAAAATGAGATGGAAAAGGAAATGGCAAACCACTCCGGTACCTATGCCAAGAAAACCCAAATGGGGTAAAAAAGAGTTGGACACAACTGAAAAATAACTGAACAACAACTAGGAAATGAAGTGTGAAAGACTTTTGGTGACTATAATAATGGAAAGCAGACAACTTAGGAAACAGGGCACTCCAGAGCACTTGATATAAGAAGAAACAGCCATACAAATCTCAGGTATTTGTAGGAGAATAACTGTATTATGGCAAAGTACAATTCAATTCAATTAAAACAGTATTAATGGTGTCCTATATGCTTCATGATGACCTTGATTATATTCACTACCATATTTAAGGAGGTAAAAAGTATACATCAAAACTGCTTAATAGAAATGACACTTCACAAAATTTTCCTCTCATCAAATGAATATGGCGAAGATACAGACTCCCTTCTCTTTCTCCCCTCCCCTAAGCAATTTCCTCTCAATCTTGACTGGAGCCATTTTATAACTAGGCTAGTTTGCTATTAAAATGCCAGATTCCACACTAATGCATTATCGGTGGAGTTGTGAACTGATCCAATCACTCTGGAGAGCAATTTGGAACTATGCCCAAAGGGCTATAAATCTGTGCATACCCTTTGCCCCAGCAATACTACTTCTAGGTCTGTATCCCAAAGAGATCACAAAAAGGGAAAAGGACCCACATGTACAAAAATATTTATAGCAGTTCTTTTTGTGGTGGTAAAGAGTTGGAAATTGAGGGGATGCTCATTAACTGGAGAACGGCTGAACAAGCTGTGATATATGAATGTAATGGAAGACTCCTGATGGAAAATGATAACCACATTCAGAGAAAGAACTATGGATGCAGATTGAGGTCTACTATTTTCACTTTTTTTTTTCTTTCTCATATTTTTTTTCCTTTTGCACCGATTCTTCTTTCACAACATGACTAATGTGCAAATATGTTTAACATGATTGTACATTCATAACCTATATAAGATTGCTTGCTGTCTTGGGGAGGGGGGAGGGAAGGGAGGAAGAGAGAAAAATTTGGAACTAAAATTTTACAAAAATGAATGTTAAAAACTATCTTTACCTGTAATTGGAAAAAAATAAAATTCATTAAGAAAAAATAAAATAAAATAAAATGCCAGATACCATACTGACTTGTTTTATCCAAATTCCACTAATAAAAAAAAATGACACTTAAAAGAAATAAGCTTCAGTTATGAGAAATTCCATTATGTGGAATAAGAGTTCCTATGTCTGGCATGTAGTAATCATTCAATAAATGCTTGTTGATTGATTGACAGAAGATAGCCAGAAGACTTAAAAGAAGACCAAGTCTGTTCAAATCAGGTTGTCTATTTTGATCAAGATCAGACTCAACCCATTTGGCCAGTCCTGGAACCAGCATATTTTTCTCTAAATTCTCTGGCTCAGGGAGGGAAAGTGGGGGAAGGGAATAAGTGTTTATATTTTGCTTACTGTGTGCTAGGCACTGTGCTAAGTGCTTTATAAACATTATTTCATTGAATCCTCACAATAACTCTGACAGGAAAGTGTTTATTATTATCCCCATTTTAGAGTTGAAGAAATTGAGGTAGAAAGAGATGTGACTTGCCCAGGGTCATAAAGCAAGCAAATAACTGAAGCAAGATTTTAACAAAAGTCTTGACTCCAGGCCCAACACTCGCTCCTCCCTAAAGGAGTTTGGGAAACAAAGGCATGACAGAGAAGTTCAATTTCCTGTAAATCTACTGTAGCTGTCTCAATGCTAAAAGGAGAACAGCCAAAATTTTGTTGACTTTGTTAAATAAAAAGATGTAAGAACTGATGAGGAAATTCCGTTCTGGATCTGATTTTTTTGAGGCATAAATGGAAAACACCTTAGCATTTCAGATAGAAGAAGAAAGGGAGGCTGAGAAGAGGCTGACCTGTCAAGTCACAGATCTGACTAGGCCACTCTTCAACATAAAATGCTTTACTGGCTCCTTCTTACTTCTCAAAAAAACCAGAAACTTCTCTGCCACTTAAAGCCTTTCACAATCTGGTTCCAATTTCCTCTCCGCACTAACTTTCCATTGCTACTTCATGCACAGATGGTAAGTGGCAGAGCTGGGACTTGACCTCAGGAGAAGGATTTTTCCATTGTGCCAGACACATATAAAGAAGATAAACCGATATAATGTGGATTATTTTAAAGAGTTTTACCAATAACAAATATGTATTGTGTCAAACGCATTTGTATTGGAAAAATAAATGGACTAAAGTATCTAATCAATGCAGCTTCTTAATATTTCTACTTTATAAAAAGATGACAGAAGTTGGGCAATTTTAACTTCACATTCCTCTTCTATTGGTTAAATAACGCAACCTTTCTAATTCATTTATTAGAACAGAACAAATTGTCATTCATCAATGTGTGATACTATGAAATACTTAATTATTAAGCCAAGAAGAATATTTATTTTTTTTCCCCTTTAGACGTGCCCATTTTTTAATCACTTCATGTCACTTCACTGAAACACCTTCAAAAAACCAGGTTTTCTCAAATAAAATGTAGACAGTGACAACTACAGTTATCACATCATAGGATCACAGTGCCTTGAATATAGTGGGTACTAAATAAGTGTATGTGGGATGGAATACTAACTTTTATCCAAATTAAAACACTTCCCACTCTACTTTTCTTCTTACCTGCTTTGACGGAAAATGGCTTCTCAAGTAGAAATATTGTTTGCTTCCAGTGAGTTTGGGTAGTGTGGGGACCCGTAGAGAATAAGACCTACAGAGGCAGTACAAGGCTTTTAATATCATGCTACATTAATCAATACCAAATACATAACAAATACTTGCAACAGCAAAATATGCTTAAATATGTATCAGCAAGGAGGCAAACTCCAGACAAAAAAAGATACATTTAATAAAATGAACTCATTATATAACCTGTCATACTTACTTTTTTGTGGCAGTTCTTCTCAAAAAAGATATCAAAGTAGCCAGCAACTGCCTATTAAAAAAAAGAAAAAAGGAGCATCAATAATGACTAGATCATCATATTAAACTATTAATGATATTTATTCCTTTTTCTGATAGAGAATCTCTTCCCAGATAACTGAAAAAAGAGTTCTATTTTTCAAGTTATATTCCCTTTTTACAACCTGGTATTCCTTCTACGCGCAAAGGAGCTACCCTTTTCATTGCATTTCCTTATCACAATATATTTTCTCATGCTAGCTCACAAAAGTTTATACAATCCAATACAGGTGAAATGGTACTTTTAGTTCCATAATACTACTAATGTCAACTTTACTATTCAAAATTTTGCATGTGTGATCCTTCTTTCCCTCTTCCTTTGACATCAACGGAGTATAGGCCTAATAGTAGTATTGATTGGTCAAAAGGCATGCACAGTTTAGTGACCTGACTGGCAAAGATGGAGGAAGAAGCAGTACTGTCTCTCCCACAACTACTTCAACTAGGATACTTCACCTAAAAATTAGTCTATACCAGATACAGGTGAGAAGGCAAAAGACTATACTACACAAAAAAGGTAGAAAGAGTGGGTGGAATAGGTAATACTTCAACTATATTTTTATCTGAACAGGTTGAAGAACATACACAAGAGTCTGGTATAGAAACACATTCACCTGAAGAGGGAAATGAAGAAACAAGGAATGAGGTAAAGAATGAACAAGAGGGATGGTAAATTCAGAAAGGGATTAGTCATATGCAAAATAAATTCTAATATTAGGAAAAGTTTTAAAAGAAAAAAAAAGGTAAAAACCTGGGACAAGTGTGGGTGAGTGGAAATGAGGGGCAGAGGAGCTGGAGAAAACTGCATGAAGTGCAGAGATCACCCTTTCTTTCTTGCCCCTGGTCTATATTGTAAAGGGGTGAGGGGCAGAGAAGAAAGAAAGAAGTATAAGAGAATAAGGTGGAAGAAAATACACAATAATCATGACTATAAATGTGAGTAGGATGAACTCACTCATAAAACAGAAGTGGTTAGCAGAATGGATTAGAAAGCAGAATCCAACAATACACTTTTTACAAAAAACATATGCAAAACATGAAGATTTACAGAGAATTAAAATAAAAGACTAGCACAAAACCTATTATTCTTCTACTGAAGTCCCAAAAGCAGGGGTAGCAATCAAGATTTTAGACAAGCTAACAGCAAAAATAGACTTGATAAAGAGATTAAAAAAAAGGGGACCTACATTACGCTGAAAGGAACCACAGACAACGAATTAATATCGGTATTTAACATAGGTACTAAATGGAAGAGAAATCTACTTAAGGGAAAAATTAAACAAAAAGGTAGATGTGACAGATTCCTGGATATCACTGAATGGGAATAGGAGGAGCAAATCTATTTTGCAGCATGTATTAGAGCATAAAACTCCCAGAAAAATGCAGAAAGCAGAAATATATCAAATATATTCTTTACGGACAATGCCATAAGTTACACTCAATAAAGGACTATTGAAGAAAGGATTAAAAATAATTGGAGGCTAAATACCTTATTTCTAAAGAAACTGGTAGTTCAAAGAACAAATCACAGAAACAACAGATAATTTCAAATAAAATGACAGCAATAGGACAATATAAAAAAAGAAAAACTGTGGGATGTAGCCAAAGCAGACTTTAGGGGAAAATTTATCTCTTTAAACACTTTCATTACCAAGAAAGGGAAATAATATATTGGGCATAAAACCCCTAGAAAATAAATTTTTAAAAATAAAGTACCACATTGAAGATATTAACAAATCTGTAAGCAAAAAACTCCCATTAAACTAATAAAGATAGGAACTAGGTTTTTTTGGGAAAAAAAATTAGCTAAAAAGAAAACTAAATTACTAGTATCAAAAATGAAAAAGGTGAATTCACAAGTGAAGAAGGATGAGAAACTATACTGTTCAACTATGTGCCAATAAAAATGATAATTTTATATAAATGAATATGTGAAAAAATATGTTCAGATTAAAACAACAGATATTTAACCCAATCTTAATTTTTAAAAAGTTCAACAAGCAAAAAGGAACTATCAAACATTCAAAGAACAAATAATTCAATGTTACATAAATATTTGTAAAGACAGGAAAAGAAGGATTTTTACCAAATTCCTTCTATGATACAAATATGGTCTTGATACTTAAACTGGAGACAATCAAAACCAAAAGAAAACGATAGACCAATATCCCTAATGAACATCGACACCAAAATTTTAAACAATGCATTAGCAAAGAAGCTACAGCAATTATGACAAAAAGAACAAATTCTATGGCTAGGTATACCAGGAATTAGGATTGATTCACTATCAGAAAGACTAGAAACATAACAGTCCATATCAACAACAAAAATAATGATCACATCTACAGGTGCAGAAAAAGTTTTTGGAAAATATGAGACCCATTTGTGTCAAATATAGTCTAAATATTGAAATAAATGGTCCTTTTCTTCATATGGCAAGTATTATTGATCTAAAACCCAGGGTTAGCATTATGTATAAAGGGGATAAACTAGAGGCCTTTTCAATAAGATTAGAGGTAAAGCAAGCACAACCATTATTACTAGTACTATTTGACATAGCTACAGTGAGAAAAAGAAACTGAGCAAATAAACAGAGGCAAAAAGGAAACAAAATTATTACTTTTTGCAGATGATATAATAGTTTACTTACACCCGAACCATGGGAGTCAAATAAGTATTAAAAAATTGACAATAAATTCAGCAAAGTTAAAGGATGTAAAATAAATCCACATAAGTCATCAGCATTCCTGTATATTACCAACAAAATCCAGCAGGAAAAAATAGAAAGAGAGATTTCATTCAGTATAACTACTGCTGGCAAAACTTGAAAGCAGTCTGATAAAAATTAGGTTGAGATCATCAGGGGTGGGGAACCTGTGGCAAAAGGATTTGTTCTGTCAAGTTTGGATTCAGTCAAAGGGCCGCATTTGAGGACCTAGAGGGCCACATGTGGCCTCAAGGCCGCAGGTTCCCCACCCCTGGTTTAGATGAACACTTCACACTCACATACCATTATGAGCTTAAAATGGACATATGACTTGGATACACATCATAAACAAATTAGATAAATACGGAAAAGACTTTCTTTTAAATCTATGGATAGGGGAAGAGTTTATGCTCAAACAAGGGAAAGAGGATCCTAGAAGATAAAATGGACAATTTTTATTTTATAAATTATAACTAAAAAGCTTTTGCACTACAAAACCAATACAGTTAAAATTAGAAGGAAACAGTTAACTGGGAAATGAATTCTTTGCAGCAAGATTTCTTTGATAGGTCTTTTTTCTCAGACATTTAAGGAACTGATCAAATCTGTAAGACTAAGAGAATCATTCTCCAACTGATAAATGGCCAAAGCATATGAATAGGCAATTCTTAAAGAAAGAAATCCAAGCTATCAATAGCCATATGAAAAAATGTTCCAACTAATAGTTGAAGAAATGCAAATTAAAGCATCTCTGATGTTCCACTTTACATTCATCAGATTGGCCAAGATGACAAAAAAGGAAAATGACAAATGTTAGAAGAACTGCAGGAAAACAAGCACATTGATGCATTATTGGTGCAACTTTGAATTGGTCTAACTATTCCAGAAAGAAATTTTAACCATATCTAAAAAGTCACTTAACATTGTATACCCTTTGATCCAGCTATAAGGTGTGCCCCAAAGAGATGGAAGAGAAAAAGGACCTATTTGTACAAAAATATTTACTTATATCAGCCCTTTTTGTAGTAGAAAAGAACTGGAAACTGGGGGGAGGGGGAGCATCAAATGGGAAACAGCTTAATAAATTATGGCATGTAAATGTAATGGAATACTATTGTGCTGTAAGAAATTATGAAAGGTATAGTATTTCAGAGAAACCTAAAAAGATTTACATGAAATGACGCAGAGTAAAGTGAACAGAACCAAGAGAACAATTTATACAATAACAAAACTATTATAAAGACAAACAAATTGAAACAAATTTGAAAGACATTATTCCAGAGGACTGATGACGAATTATGCTACTCATCTTCTGATGGAGAGGTTATGGATTCAAGATGCAGAATGAGAGTTGGACACAGTCGATATGGAAATTTACTTTGCTCACCCACGTATTTTTGTTGCAAGGATTTTGTTTGTCTATTTTTTCCAAGGGGGGGGGTGGTAGTAGGTGGGTGAGAAAATAAATACTTTAGTAACTTCTTGTTTGTAATAGTTTGAAATTGCTTTCTAGAATGTTTAGACCAATTCGTAGGTCCACCAATAGTGCCTTAGTGTGCCAGTTTCCCAAAGACTTCCCAATTGTTATTTTCCTTTTTTGATATCTTGGTCAATCTACAGGGTGAAAGGTGGAATTTCAGAGATGTTTAATTTGCATTTTTCTAATCATTAGTGGCTTGGAGCATTTATTCATATGGCTACTGATAGCTTATATTCCTTCCTTTGAGAACTGCCTCTTTACATTCTTTGATCATTCATCTACTGGGGACTAGCTCTTGCTCCTACATATTCAGTTTTTTGAATATCTTAGAAACAAGATCATTATCAGAGAAATTTGCTGCATAGATTTTTTCCCAACTGTCTCTAATTTTAAATGTATTGGTTTTATTTGTGCAAAACCATTTCAATTTTATAATCAAAATTGTCCAGTTTATCTTCTGTGATCCCCTCTATAATTAATTTGGCCATTGACTCTCCCTCTCTATACACAGGTGCAAAGAGGTTATTTCCTTCCTTGCTTCTCTAAATAGTTTATGATGGGACCTTTTCTATCTGAATCATATATCTATTGGTGAACTGCCTGGGAGCACTAAGAGGTTAAGTGACTTGCCCAGGTCATCCAGTAAGTGAATGACCAAGACAGGACTCCTGGATGTCTCCTGATTCACTCTGCCATGCTACCTCTCAATGACAGATAGACAGGTTTCTGTTAACATTATTTTAGTTTGGCCCTCCAGGTTGTGATTACAATGACAGAATATCTTTTG